TTTTCATTTCAACTTTTGAAGACTTGATGATAATACAGTGAAGTCTCACTGGGTGAACAAACATATATATAGTAAAACACTCTGATCAGTGCAGATATTTCAGCGTCATGTTGTGATAAGATAAATAAAGCATATTAGCACATTACTTCAATTGCAGTACACGCTACAAAAGATTGTCTCTTGAAAATTTACAAAAAAATAAGATTTGAGTCTTTAGATAGATAGAGATATATAGATATAAACATATATATACATGCACTTTTAGTTGCTTCTGTTCCTGTTTAGAGTATTGATTCAACCTAATATAACCTTCAGCTCAAGCTTTGTGTATCTCTTAGCTATCTTTCTATATCTATCAGTATGTATCTAATGTCACATAATTGCTCAGAAACTTGACCCAGTCACACACACACACAGACAGCTAATATTTGAGCTCTTTTCATTATTCTTAATCGTCTTCTTGCTGATAACCGTTGGGCAAACCTGACACAGCGTTTCAAGAATTTGCCAAAGACCGTCCGTCCGTCTGTCCGTCTGGTGGCAGGGTCGTCGCGTTGACCTTTGCTTGCGCTGTCGCCGTCTCGAGTTGCGTGTCATTGATTCGAACTGGATGAGGCACTGGACAGCTAGTGCAAGCCAAAGGTAAATCGGACAAAAAGAGCTTATCTACAGGTGTCGAAATCATGTTGATAAGACGAGAACGTGATGCCAGCTGAGATAATTATTTATATACGTATATACTTCACTAAAGTAACAAGTAAGTTATGCAATCCCACTGGAAGCCATGTGGCACCTATATCACAGGTAGCACATAAATTAACAGTGGCAGATGCAAGCCCTTGTGCTCAGGTACTCGAGCACCTGAGGTGCAATAAATTTGCAAGGCAACAAACAGTCAACAGCTAATGAACAATTTACAGCTAGATGTAAAGCAAGACCCAGGAGAGTTTGCCAGACTACAGAATACCCTGTAAATGCAATGTTAAGTTACAGCATCGTGTAAATGAGACAATTTTGAACTTAGTTCTCAATGTAATAAAGGAAGATCTTACGAAATACCAATCTATCTGATCTATATACACTATAAGATAATTAGCATACTAAATTTGACCCTTATGTCATATCGATATTTATCGATCTTTAATCAAATTTTAGCAGTTTTCTTATTTTATAGCAAATATTAGCTGAGTGCTTCTAGGTCATCGATTGGCCTTCTAAGCGTACTATATTCGAGAGATTGACGAGCAAAACAATATTTATCGATGTTTAGGAAACTGTAGATATTTATCGATAGCATATATTATAAAGAAAAATAATAGTAATAATATTAATAATAATAGTAACATAATTTATAATAATAATTTGATATAGTTAACAATAAAAGTCAAAAATAATAATCTACTTATATATTTACTTATATCATAAAGCGTTTATAAATTTATAATACTTAATTAGACCTTAACACCTATATCATTCACATTTTCACCACTCTGCCATGTCTACAGGGTATTACGAGAGTCTCTAAACAGCAGCTCAGCTGATCATCTGTGATCTGCTTCATAAATCGTTGTGGCATTTGCCATTTTTATGTATTTATATAGACAATTGATTAGATTTTTATTGGCATTTATAATTGAATTAAAGTGCCGTTATTAATTTGTTGGCACACTTTGATTGTGGCACCGGCTAAAACAAGACACAGCACTGGCAGAACCGAGGCGAAAAATTAGTTTTCCAGTATTTTCCAGTTGCATTTATGTTTCTATTATCGCTGTACCCAAGAGTGAACGACAACAACAACAACAACAAGAGCGACTAATCAGTATTTTGATAGAGACTAGACCAGCCCCCACATACAATTAGTAGCTAGTTCAAATATACTCGTATACTCTAGTAAGACTCATAATTTGATAGGTCAACAAAATTTGATTGAAATTTACAAAGCATAAGAATTAGACCTGAATTTCGATTGGTTTTTCGGTTTCTAGAGATCGTGTAATAGGAAGAAATGTTATTAAATATTAAAACGCATTTTAATTAGTGGAATATTTTCAATTTATCAGCAAGAGATTTGATGACCTTCAAGTCAAATCTTTCCCATCTCTCTCCTTTCTCTCTCTTTCTTCAAGCTTCATTCTAAACAATCATTTATAGGTTGGGTAGCGAAAAATCTTCGAATAGTTTTGTACTCTAAAAAGACAAAGTTTAATTCCAATTCGTGACTCATAGAGCAAAGCTCATTAAGTAATTGATCTATTTATATGGAGTCTATACCATACATACGTAATTATCATACCACACACAATTTCGCGCTATATACACTCTGTTACTTATGAGTCACATAGAGTATATATATCTTCTGCGAGACCATTTAGCTGATTTCTATGTAGTTCTATTTATCCGTACTTTTCGTATAACCGTATATCAGAGCCTATTGAAGCTAAGTGCTTGAAATTTGACACCTGGGTACACCTCCTACAGCACGCCCAGCGCAAGGATATCTTGCAACAAGCATATTCAGGGTATTCCCTAGTCGGGAGCACTCACTTATCTAGTACTATGTAAGCCTGTCCAGTTCTTATTATATTTACACAAAGTTCCATACAGAGCTCAGGGAACAACTATATATATAAAACATCAGGCAAATTATTAGATTGTAGTTTTAGTCTTGATTTTTTGTGGCTTTGCTTCTTTCTGTCTCTCAGTCCTCTAAATTGATTCAAATTGAAAGCGCATGACTCAGCATACGAAACAGGCGGGGGGCGGGGGCGTGGCTGAATTATGCTCCGACATGCGGCAGCTAAATAATGTTTCTACTTGCGAATGCGGTTGCTGTGCGTAAAAAAACATAAATTACAGTAGACACTCGCAAATTGGAACAAATTGTTGAAAAACATTTAATTAAGGGTTTATTTAGGGTGTTTGAAAGCAATAACTATAGATATATATAAATATATATATTTATGCATAAATGAATAATTGACTGAATCAAAATTAAGTATGGAAAACGTCATAGAAGTTGATGGAAATATACCTTGTCTGGGAAAAGTTGTATGAAATCCCGTCAATAAATGTATATTCAGAACAAATATAATACAAGCCTTAAATATAAATATAAATTCATAGAAAAGCTGGTTCCTACATAATAAATAACAAGTAAAGGACATAGCTTAAGGCCATTAAATCAAGGTTTGTTCCGTAATTAAGTCACAGGACAGTCAGAAGGCAACTTTTTGATATAATTATCAAAGAGAAGAGAAGAGAAGAAGGAAAATGAAGACAAGTACGAACAAAACACATTTGCTTATAATTAGCAGGGCATGACGCGCCCCAATGACACCGATTCCGGAAAAAATGATAAAAGCTGAAAAAAGTACTCAACGAGAAAAGAAGAGCGAGAGATGAAGAAGAGAGCACGAGGGTTGTTTCGATTGGGTGTATCTTTGGTTCGCACTGGGTCTGAGATTCCAATGCTAAAACATGGTTCCACTAAATCTGAGGCGTATTGGGCATGGAGGCGTGGCAGTACGTCGATTGCATGCCAACAGTGTACAGAGAGAACAGCCCTCAGCTCACTGGAAATATACCGGTTATGTAAGCCATAAAATGCGAAGGAAAAAAGCGTTTCCAATCTAGAAAGCAGAAAGCTTTCAATTCCAGGCAACATTATGCACGAAATGCCAGAGAGGCGGAGCAAGCGCACTAGAGCGGGCCGACTGGAAAGCGCAGCTGAGCTTTGCGCATGAACCGAGTAAAGAACCAGCAACAGTAGCAACAACAAAAAGTGTGCGTAAGCGAAAGTGGCGACCAGGTGAATGCGAAGAGTGCGCTACTTATTAAGCAATCCCACTAAGCCGATCAAACACGAGCCCTAAATCCGAACACCAGCGAGCACCACACCTGAGCTGCCGCGGAGAGAGCAGAAAAGAGAGTGCACGGCAAAGAGAGCGAGCAAACGAGCGAGCGAGAACCTGTGCCTTAGAACGAAACAAATGAAAAGAACATTAAGAAAACCAGCTAGCTGCAAAGCCACACTGGGCTAACTTCATACTATTGATCATGCACACAGATACGAATCCCAACAACAACTGCAGCAGCAGCAGCACAAGGTAAGCTGTGTCAGCTAAGCCATCCAATAGGATTAGAGACTAAATGATTAGAAGAAAAACTCTGCAACGTCTCCACCCAGTTTACAGTTAACTGAGGCAGACTCACAAAAAAAGCAACAACCATAAACAAATTAATAAGCTTGGCGTCGCCTAAGGGCGTCGGCTTGCAGCGTACACTAACAACAAAACCAATAACAGACTGACACACTCACACTTACGCACGCACACATCCAAAAGTTTCGATTTTTCCATTAAAAAAAAACGCCCGCTCAGCACTGTTGTTGTTGTTGTCGTACCGTCAAACACACACCTCGAAATTTTCGATCAGTTTTAGCCACATTTCAACTGGAGTTTTGCAGACATTTGTGCACACACTACTGGTAATATATGTTAACAATTGTTTGCACTCTTTTTTAGCCTTAATTAACTTAGTTTTATTACAAATATTTAGTTTATTTATTGCGCTCAGCTCACCTCGTAATCCGACCTTAACGCCATGTTTTATCGATATAAAGTTTCTTATCGATTGCTGAATGTTCTCTGCCGCTGCAGCGCAGTGTTGTTAAGCAGCTAAAGTGCGCTCTTTACATATGGCAAATTTGCGTTAACAGAAATTTTTAACAAAGTATTTAGTTGGCCGTATTTGTTGGAAAAACCCTTTTATTAAAAAGTAATAAAGTGTTTGTCATGCATTTCGCAAATTGAAATTTTAAAATTGTGAAGCAATTTTTTAGGCTGCAATCTTAAAAGACGAAAGCGCTGTCAGTATGTTAAATCAATATACTGTTTTTTAACAGTGCCATTAGAGTTATTAGCGCTGTAAATGCAAATTGCTAAAGTCTTAACAGAAAACCGTTAAATAATTCAAACAAGTTTGAAATGAAACCGCGCCTCGTTTATTTGCTTTTTAATAATTATGACACAACTCCAGCGAATACTCATAGCCCAAAAACGTGGCCGCATTGAAGGGTATCGCACGCGCCAACAGCATCCAACTGCCACGAAAAATACTCCGCCAGCCATACGCTCTATAATTGACCAGAACACAGTGCATTATGCCACGAAACTTGTGATTCTCATCCGCCTGCATTATCGTTTTGACCACATCGAAGGGTATCACACACACCCACGACAACACGCCAGCCCAGGCGCCAGCAAACGTTGTGATCAGTAAATTAATGTTGATTGCATTCGACGGCGTTCGATGCTTGCGCACAAAATCCGAACTTTCCATATAATGAGACGCCTGGCGATAGACTAGCATATAGATGCCATAAGGCAGCACATCACTAGGAAAATAGAAGTATATGGATATGTGTATTATAGCGTTAGCTCAGCTCGGGTTAGATCTACTCACCGGCACATCATGGGCAGCAGTCCGCGATATAAACCCGAGATGCCGTCGTTCTTCAGTATGCGCTTGAAGGTGCCAAAGGCTGTTCTACGCTGGCCATAGATATAGTCGTTGTAGTCTGTAAGGGGGAGATAAGGGAGTACAGTGAATCCGCCATAGAGTGAGCGCACACAGCGCCAACTTATGTTAACTCGTTGTTAAGGTGGCTGTCACCTTAACATGAGCTTTCAAGGCAGTACAATAAAGTCTAATAAGAATTTGCAAAGCAAACGCAGTCTCCGGACAGAGGTAACACTGTAGTCATTCTACTTACAGCAATGCGTCTGCAGTCGCACCTTGATCAACTCCATGGGGCACGCGATGAAGGACTGAACGAACCCGGCCACCGAGCCAGCCAGAAACATGTTGTGATACTCGAGCTGCTCCCGCTGGTAGTCGCTGTGGCAGACGCGCCGCAGCTGCCGCAAATGGTTGCCGTAGATGCCGAACAGAATCGAGTTAATGGCGCCCGTCGACATCAGCGGGAAGAGCATGCCCCTGTAGTAACCGTTGATCTTTAAAGCGTTGTCAACTGGTTCCGCCTGGTCGGCCAATCGCTTACCCCATTGTTCCGCGTGTAGATCTGATGGAGGGCCGTCATGACGGACGTGTTCGACGCCTGTTGCCATGTCTTGATCGTGTCCAACGGATGCGCCACCAGCACGCCGCAAGCCCCTGTTTCGTTGGTTTTTGTTTGTGCCATAATTCAAAAATAGTTTAACAATAATTTTAATTAAAGAAAATAGAAAACATTGTTAATTAAAAGGCGAATTGCCAACAAATTCAATGCTTTCTCTCTCTAATGTTGTCTCTGTCTTTCTATCACACTTTCACTCACTCTCTCCCTCTCTCCCACTCCCTTCCTCTATCTCTCTTGCTCTTTCCCCCTTCCTGTCTTGCCTTACGGTAAAAATACGCCACGGATCAGGGGCGCCTCACACATGAACTTGACCGTGACGTCGCTGTTGTTAGCTACAGTGAGCGCCCACTACAACGAACAGCTTATACAAGCAAGTCTTGGCTAGGGGTAAAAAACCTGACAAAAGGCAACTTCAATTAGCTTCAATTCTATTTACATGACCGAACTACTCATTAGCGATATTTCGACCAATTGTTAACTTGGTTCTTACTGTAGCTATCGAAGCCGTCAACAAGTGTTTTCGCATTGCGTCATTTGCGCCACATTTGTGGCAAAAATCTGTGAAACTCACCACCAACACAGCCTGCGACAAAATCACAATAGTTTTCCCACTTCATGGCCTTTTGGTTCACGTTCCTAAATGCAGTTGCGCCTTGGAATTATCAATTTTTTTTATTGATTTTTAGTTTTTGTTGCCTTTTTGGTCGACTGCATTGGGCAGCGGGAGCTTTGCGACTGCAGTCCAATTGGAGCGCTGTTGTGCAGCATTGCTGAAAGCTCAGAGGTTTTGAGAGCTTTGCTGCTGTCAGAAGCTCAATGGTATAGTATAAGTTGTAGGTTAAGTGCAGCATGTTGAGTGATCTCACGCTAATTGAACTGCTTGCTTGTGCTTTAAAAGTCAAAAGTCCAGTAAGCTAAAGTTAACAGCGCCTGCTGGATCGCAACGCTGCTCTGTTGTTGCTGTGTATTCAACTTAACTTCGTCGTTTTCTGCAATTTTACAGCCACCTTCCGTTTGTTACATTTATCCATAGCTGTGATGAAACTAAGTTGCTGTGCAGCGATAACAGTTAGCATTCATAACCACTGCTTTCCATCCAGCAACTCCAATCGAGTGCATACTACTTGTATACAGCACACTTCACATAATTCGGCACCGCTCTCAAGCTCTGGCTGCTACAAATGAAAAATCCACAGGCCATGGGTATATACATATTAAATGTCATTGTTTTTATTGTTGTTGTTGATTGATCTATTTGCCTCTCTGTTGCTCATGCATTCGATTGCAACTGCTTGCCTAACTGCTTGACCTGCTTGCTGAAAGCAACCAACTAAACATATTTATTTTATACATATACATATGCATACATGTATATATATATATATATATACGTTTTATATATATTCATTTTCATTTATTTTTTCATAATTTCTTTGTATTTTTCGCTTTTTTCGTTTTTTTTTTTTGTTTAAATGTATTTATTTTTTTTATACTCAGCATAAGATTTTAGTTGTTTTTTGTTTTTGTTTTATGTCGTGTGGCGAAAAATAATTAACACAAAAATTCGAAAAACCTAGAGCAATACGAACCAAGAAAACTCCATAGATTATATGATTTTGTTTGTTTGTTGTTGTTGTTTTTACAAGTCTAGAACATAAGAAAATATTTCACATTTTCTAATTTATGCAATATGTTTTTTATATTTGTTAAAGCGACTTATATATTGTTTTTTTTTTTTTGCTTTATTTTATGATGCGACTTTATTTTTTTTTTTAGTTTTTATATTTTTTAGTACAGTATTTTCTTGTTTTTTTTCTTTGTCTCTAAAAGTACTTAACGAGTTTTGCTTAGACTTTTAGCTGGCTAATTTCTTTTTTCTTTTAACATGCTTTTGTTTTTATTTTTAATTTTTATAACTCTGCTTCTGTTTTTTATTTTTTTTTTTATACATATAAATACATAAAACTATATTTAATGGTTTCAAGTTGGAAAAAAGCAGGCTAAAAACATTAACTCAAAGTGCAACAGAAAAATGAAAAAAAAAATTACAAATTAAAAAAAATAATAGAACAACTCTTATATAGATATACGTAAATGTATATATATATGTGTGTGTGTATATTCTCATTGATCAGGCATTTTTAACATATTTCTCTTTGTTTTTACAGTTTCTATATTTAATATATATTTTTAATATTTTACTTTTTATTTTTGTATTTTTTTTTGCTTTGCACTTGGCATTTCTATGTGAAATTCAACATTAACTAAGAGAGTTTTCTGCTGCAGCTGCTAGACAGGGTTAGTAGGGGGCGTGGCATGTGGCTAGAGCATTTTTTGCTAAACTTTGATTCGCATAGTTAGTTAGGCATATGCAACTTTATTTATTTCTTTATTTTTCATTTTTATATTATCTTTTATTTATTGCTTCGTTAGAGCTGCATGGGAAATTACTCTGCCATTGGTATGGAGCCAGTTGGCTAGCCGAAACAACATGTGACATGCCAGCAAATGAGTTTTCTTATTCTCCTTCCATTTTGAGTCTATTGCTTTTGAAATGTTTTAGTTTTTAGTTAATTTACTCTCTAATATAAAGATGCAAAACTTTCCATACACACACAGTTTTTTCTTTTATATTTTTGTTTTGTTTTTTTGCTTAGATTCATTTTTTTCGTTTTAGTTTTTGCATATTTTTTGCTTTTAAGGTTTATAAACATACTTTTCTTTTTTTTTTAACTTTTCATATGTTTTGCATATAATAATTTACGTTTCACAGACACAATTTTATTTATCATATATATATATATATATATATATATATATATATATATATTATCTATATATATAAATACATATATATACATATACATATATACATATATATATATATAGTTAATAGTATTCATATAGTATTGTATGTTTAATTTTTTAACTTTTGTTTAATGCATGCTTAGATACTTTAGTTTTTAATGGGCATGAAATGAATATATATATATATATATATATATATATATATATATATATATATATATATATATATATATTTATATATATATATATATAGATATTTATATACATATATTTTTAATATATATATTATGCCTTTGATTATGTTAATTTGTTATATGTGTGCCATAGATGAGTGTTTATTTTTTTTATTATAAGTTTTTATTTTAAAACAGCGGCAAAATGAAATTTATTGATTCATTTTTATAAATTTTTATTTTTATTTATTTTATTTTCTTTTATATTATTTTTTAGTATTTACATTTAAGAAGTTGTGCGCATTTGTAGAAGAGTTGAAATGGGTTGGAAAAAAAGTTTAGAAAGTTTTTCTTAGAAAGTTTGTATATTTTTATTATTTTTTATTTTTTTATATTTTAGTCGTGCCGCTGTTCTAGGCAAATTCCATAACTGTGAACTGTGAGAAATGTGAAATGAGCGAAAGTTGTGAATGTTGGTGTGTGTTTCCTAGTTTAAGGTTTTGCATGAGTTCGAACTATAATCTAACTTTGACTTTCATTTTTTCATGTTTATTTCGCTTTTATTATTTATTAGTTTAGTTTTATTGTTCGTTAGCCTACAACTGTGTTTTTATACAATGCATAATTTTTGTTTATTTTTTTAATCAATTTTAGTTTTTAGTTTCATATATGTGTTTAAACTTTAATCTTACAAGAGACGCTACACAAACATATACACATACATTCCATATATATATTTATTAGACTTGTATATGGATCAGCATTTGATGTATTATTATATATGTATATGTAAAAGTTGTTCAGTTGGTTTTTAAATTTATTTTTCTTTTCGCTTGTGATGAATGCCGCTATAGATATAAATATATATATATACTATATATATTATATATGTATATAGTTTCTTTTTCCAGTTATCGAATTAGACTTTTCTTGTTTCGGAACAGTTTTTACTTAAATTTCTTTTTTGAAAGTTGATGACGGCATGTGCAACACTTAAAGATAAGTAACAAAGTTTTTATTATTATTTTTGCATAGTCTACATATATATATAAATATACACACACACACACACACACATGCATATATATGTGTATGCATGCATACGCATTTTATACAAATGAAGTTTTCAGTGGGTTTTTGCCTATATGTTTAAGCTGAAAGTTGGACACATACCAGAGACTGCTCGAATTTCGAAATGTTCCGAAATTTCCATAATATATATAGTTATAGTATTTTGTTTATACACATTTAGAATGCTTGTGTGCACGGGGAGCGCGAGCGTTCAATAGAAAACGTTAACTAGAGTGTTTAGTATGTTTATGTGTGTGCGTGTGTGTGTGTGTGTTGTGTCTGTCCATGTGTGTGTGCTATTGGGGCAGCTGTTCTAGGCTAGCAACACATTTAATTTTTTTTTTTATTTTTCATCTATATTTATTATTTTTATTAATAATATTTTCAATGCGTGTTCTGAACAATCATCGAACATTGAGGCTCGCTTTTCTCTGCTTCACTTACAAACGATTTTACGCTTTATTCAATCCGTTTTTACTTTTCTTTTTAGCTTAAACCTAATTAATAATTACTTTTTCTTTACTTTTTTTGCTTGCTCTTGTAATATATATATTTATATGTATTTATAATATGTATGTGTGTGTGTGTTTATTATATTATGTAGAATTTTTGTTGCGCTCCTCTCATGTATTTAGTTTAGCCACGCCGCTTGCAAAACTCACAACGTGTCCTGCCGACTTGCTTTTGGTGTCCTTGTTAAACGAGTATACAAATTAGTTTAGTTTTCATATTTATTAATATTATTTTGTTTTTAAGTTTTTAGCATAAGCTGCATTTTGTTTGTTTATAACTATTTAGCGCCAGCTCAACAAATTTTCATACTTAATTCATTTTCTTTGATTTTTTTTTTAAATTTTATATATATATATATAGATGTGTGTAGGTGTGTGTATGTGTGTGATTGTGTGTGTTTGGGTGTGTGTGTATGTGTGCGTGAGCCGGCTGACATTTTATGTGTTGTGATTATTGTTGTTCGTGTTGTTGCATTTAACTGTATTGTGATTGTTGCTGTTGCTGTTCTTGCTGTTGCTGTTACTCCTGTTGCAGTTGTTGTTATTATTATTGTTGATATTTATCAATAAGTTTCCAGCGCGCTTTGCGTTGCATCTGTTTAGTTGTCTGGCTTTTCGGTTTTTATTTTTGCATTTGCTGTCGCAGGATTATTGTCAGCAGCAACGCTGTTGCTGCTATTCGACTGTTGCTGATGAGAGTTGGCTACATTTGGGGTCTGCACCGACGCCGACGCAGCACCAGCTGACGCCGCCGTAGCGGACGTTGCGCTGTTCGCTGTTGCAGCGCTGCCGCCTGCGGCGCGCCCGCTGGAACGATTTGATTCGAGTTCGTGCAGCTTCTTCCATAGCTCCTCACGATCGCGTTCGCGTTTCTTTTCCCTGCAAATGCAAAAACGAATCATTATTTCAGTGTACACATATATATATATGAATAGCAATAGTTACTTTTGCCGTTCCGCCTTGTAGCTGGATGTTAGCTCATCGAATAGCTTTGAATTCATTTCCATAAACGTTTTCAATACATTGTAAACGAGCGCAACAATCGTTTGATTCCAATGCTCCTTGCTAATGCGATAGAGCGCCGGGAACATAATGGGCATTATGACAGGATTGTTCTCCTCAATAAGCGACATTGCATATTCATTATTCCACAGATATAGAGCACGTTCAGCAACCTAAGCAGATAAGTAAATACATATTGTTTAATTTGTATTTAATTGAATATATTTAAAGTTAATTACTTGAAAATGTGGACTCGATACGCATTTGGCTATCTGACGGAACAGCGGCTCCTGTATTTTGACAAACTGTGGCGGATCGATCACATCCAATATCTCCTCAATTTCACCCAGGAACATCACCTCCTTTTGGGAGCATGTTTTGGGCCAAAATTTAAGCAGGCCACGCACTACCGGCTCGGTGAGGAATGGATCCTTCTCTAGGAATTGTACAATGCAATACGCCAGCTGTGCATGGTAGAGCGACAAACATTTGACTTTGTGCAACGGCAACAGGACCTTAACCAAAAATTGTTTATGTTCCGCCTTCAATGGCAAAGCAAAGCCGTTAATTATGCTGTAAAAAAAAGATTTGATTTTAGTCAAGAGAAAATCAAGAGATTTTACGCATTTCCCTTACCTGCCAAGAATCTCGAGCAGTTCGCCAACGCCATTGAAATGCTCCGTCTCATAGATGAATTTCAAGAATATGTTATTGATCTGTTTTCGTATAAAAGCACGTAAGCCTAAGAATTTTCCATAGATGCGATGTAAGACCGTCTTCAGAAAGTCCCGCTCGCGCGGATCCTCCGAATCGAACAGCTCCAATAACTGAAAATTTAATAATATTATAATAACAATAATATCAATGTAAAATCAAGTTTAGTTTACCTGCAGCACAAACTTTTGATCGATCACACGTTTGCCAATGGTCGCCTGAAAATCTTGCGATTCCAAGAAGCGCAAGAACACCTCGTATACCAGCTGCAAATGAGGCCAAGACGCCTCCAGTGTTGGATCATCCTCTTCTGGGTCGAAATCCGGATTTTCACTAGGCGGCAATGTTCGAAATAAATTGCAAGAAATCTAAATGAAACAAAGGCGAAAATATTCATTAGTAGACAATTAAGAATGCCCTAGTCGGGACTACGCGACTAGGTAATACCCTGCCGTCTGCCCCAAGCTGTTATTTCAATTCATTCTGCACTTCTTGTAGACATAAGTAAATTTCAAACTACACTAACATTGCATAAGCACGCGCTCTGCATACTGCAGAACTTTACTATAGGCACTGAATTGTTGAATAACTTTTGTTCCACATGAACTTTCGTAATGCAATTTTCAGAGCGTAACAATAACATCAAAGCACAAGTTTCCACTATTTGAAATACATTTACAAATTTGTGGGAAATGGGCACAACAGTCCACAACTTAAATTCTCAAGACTTATCTATAAATTTGTTCAGATTTTCATTGCGCAAATTGGGAACTTGCTTTTCCTGGTCTATGTCTACATAGTTATAGTTGCATTCCATTTACTTACCATGCGTATTATTTCGGGATAGACCGGTTCCGTAAGCACGCCGCGACCATGTGTTATATAGGTGGATAGATCATTGAGAGCAGCACGTTTTATTTCCTTGCCCTTCAAGTCCGTAACAGGATCCATAAAGTCAAATGATACGCAACACTGACGTAATTTCCGTATAAACAACTCCTCCTGTTCAAGGCTCGAGCAATCAGCTGTAAATAAATATATAAAAAAAAATTTAATTAAAGGATGAGGGATTGCAAGCTTTGCTTTCTTTATTTAGTCACCTTTTAGTGGTGGCAATTGCTGCAGCTCAACATCTGTAGAGTTTCTGTAGCGCGAGGAACCTTGACTTTTTTTACTCTTCTTTTTGAGCGAACGTTTGGCGAACGGGTCGATTCGATCCACAAACGTGCCCGATGACATCTTTTCAGATTTGGGTTCGTTTGTATCGATGGCGGCGGTCTCCGTGGCTGACTGTGTGGTATTCAGCTTGCCGGCTTTGGTTCCAACGTTTGACAATTGAGATATATTTTCGGCTGCACTACTAGTTGCACGCCTCACCACGCCCACACCCACGCCCACGCCCTCGCCCACGCCCGCGTCGCCCTCGTCCTCGTCTTCGTCCTCGAAATCAGTGGTGGTGCTGCTGCTGCTGCCGCCGCTGCCGAGAATCGCGACTGGTTTCTTGTTGCGCGTTTTGCGTAGCCAGCCAAATATTTTATGTGTTATGTTGGCGACTTTTGCCGTTGAGTTTGGCGTCTTGCAATCCTTTGTGCCACGTAATGCACGACTACGACTCCGATTCTTGAACGGTATGCTGGACTCTTCCTTGAGTTGTTGTTGCTGTTGTTGATGTTGATGTTGCAGTTGCTGTGTTATGTTGATGGCGGTGTTGAAGCGATAACGACTTATCTTGGCATTTAATATGCGTTAAGCCTATTCAAATAGAACGTTCGATTGATGTTGTTGTAGCTGTTGCTGCGTGCAACTTGTTTCCTTGTTGCCGTTCTTGTTTTAAATTCGTTACACTGCAAGACAAAAATTAAGTGTTTATTAAAACGTTTTTGTGCTAACGGATTGCATGATTAACTTGCCAATTGACTTAAAAATGGTTTTACCAAAAGTTTGATTGAGTGATTGATGGACATGTCAATAAGCAGATTGATAGAATGTTTTGGTATACTGACAGAACTTAATCGAGTGACTGATGGAAGACTTTCACTAACAGATCACCAGCTTTCTTGATTGACTGAGAAATAAATTGATTGACGATTTCAATAAGCTTGCTTAACTGGCTGAAGAAGATCAGTTGATTGACTACTTGTCTATGACAATTATATAACCCATTTGCAGAGATTAACAGCTTACTTGACTGGCTGATTGATCGATTGACTGCACACAGTGTATTTACATATTCGGAAGGATGATTGATTGAACAAATGTTTGATGCACAGCCTGGTTGATCTGCTGATTCACTTACACATTGAAAGATTAATTGACAAACTGACTGACTAAATGACACCCTAATAAATAGACAATTTAAATACTAGACTGATCGATTATGCGGTTGATTGACAGTGAATGCACAGCAAATAAACCTGAAATTCATTGAAAATTTAACAATTCTGACACACATCTTGACATATAACAATTTATCTTTAAAAAATGAACCAAGCAATTCTCAACTGGAATTATGGATGGCTAATTGAACACCTAATACCTGCAACTCACCTGTGTTTGATTTCTGTGTTGCTTCGTTTTGCGTTCTTTCTTCTTCTTTTTGTTCAATGGAGGGATTGTTGCATTTACTACATGCGCCTTATTGTGGTTGTTGTTGCTGTTGTAATACTCGCTTAGCTTCTATGTTGCTTGCTGCTCTGAATGGCACATCAATTCGATTCTGTCTGTCTATCTGTGTGTATGTGTGTGTGTGAGAGAGAGAGACTAATGTAGAATTTGCTATCAAGAAAAACAAACACTGATCACATATTCTCGCACTCGCTCTCACGCACTGTGTGTGTATGGTTGTGTGTGTGTGTGCGTGTGTGTGTGTGTGTGTACGCGCCTTGCTTCAGCAAGATTTTTCTTTTAGTTGAAAGTTTGTATTATTTTTGGCATCACATGCACTGCAATTGAAAGGAGAAGAAGAACGACATTAAATCATATGAAAATTTTACAATTAAAAAAAAAACAAAATCGATCGAACACAAAAATGTCGTTTGATAACATTGAGCAACGAAAAATATTGCATTTGGGTGCAACCAACCGCATTAATACTCTTTAATGAATCGAAAGCAGCTTTACAATTGATAGTTTTGGATATGCCAGCTACTTTATTTATGGGTTTATCTATAGAGGTTATTAACACTGAACAACCTGGAAAATTTGTTGACTGCAACTCTAACTTCCACGCCCCTTAAGAGGCGTATTCATATAATTTTCATTTAAGTCTCTAGCAACAAAATGACCAAACGAATATTGCCCAAAAACCAATATACTCCTATTCATTTTGTAAACGAGTATAATTATCAGTTTTTTTATTATTATTGTTTGTTATCTAATCAAAATGCTTGGCGTTTCTCCACTTAATGCTTTTGCCATATAGATAAGAGGCAAAATCAGAGCTTTGCCTCTTAGTTGTCTTTCAAGTTGATTCGCTAAAAATACAAAAAAAAAAATCATGCAAGAGCTTTTTTCAGTGCATAAATTGTGAGTGAAAATGTTAACTTTTTTCTCTATGGCCTAACTTTATTCATAAAGTTTTTAATTTATCATATAAATAGAGAGGAAAGAACTTATTTAGTTCCTATTATTATTTTTCTCAACTATTAAATATCAAAATCAATCACATGTTCGCTTAGTTGAGCCTTCACTGTATCTAATCCCACAGGCACTAGTAAAAACAAACCGCAGTTGACTCAACTTTTACTGCCGAATGCAATTTGCACTTTACAAATTTAATTTAACATCGCGTTGATTTGATTTGATTTCATGCTGCAGCTAGACGTAGCAGCGCTGAGCCTCACAGAATTACAGCCGTAATAAAGCTATAAAAAGCTAGATTACTATTGCTCTATACTAACCGCTAATGCAAGTTCAATAGACTTTGTCATATCGTAATTATATTATATTACAAACTGAACGACTCGAATAGTCATATTTTTCTGTCTGACTTTATAAATATACATTTCAAGTAGAACATTTTTCGTGTTTTCTTGTTAATTGGGTTATTAAATCTGGGCAGATAATAATAAACATTTGTAAATATATAAAGCTTTCCTTAGATACAACCCGGGCATTTTACTAAATAAGCAAACTTTATTAAAAGTGGCTAGAGTCGGACATTTAAAGTACAGTATATAAGAGCACACTCTGAGACAATATATATAGGAACCTTTTAATGAGTTTTAGCTATTAACAGAGTTTAGACAATGTCATTTAGCCCTTGTCTAGTTTTCGCCTAGGGAATCTACATATATATAAATATTTGCATCTTTGTGTTTGCTTAAGAACGACACACAGAGAACTGCATTTCAAGTGGGTGAAACCCCAGTAGAAACATGTGAAACACGTCAATCACACACATAGAGACAGATAGAGAGTGGGAAAGAAGGCGAGGAAGCTAGTTGCAATTGTTATACAGGGCGTATGAGTGTCGTCGAGTTAAATTGCGATCGACTTTGACTTCGACTAGCGACAGCTGTTGGGTGTTTGGAAAATGGAAATGTTGTGGTGAGACCAGGCAAGGCAACGTGGGCGACTTGATTCTCATTGACAAACGACCAAGTTTCACTGCTGGCCGGAACTGTACAAACGCCACGCCTCTCTCTTCATATAAAGCCCCTGCTTTACAAAAGCTATCAGCAGCTCGAATTGTTCGAAATGTTACAGCTGAGTTTGCATAGCTGTTGTCTGTATGGGCCATTGTAAGGATTCTCATTTATAGCTGATGTATATGAATATATATATAAATATGTATAGGTGAATATATCAAAGTGCATGTGTGCAAAAGAAAGAGTGAGACAAAGAGAGAGAGAGAGAGCGTTGGAGCGGCTGCATGTTTGCAAAATATTAAATGCATTTTACACAAAGTTGATTCAATTAATTTTCGTATAATGTGGGCGTGGTCTGCACACATACAGAAGGAGAGAGCCGCACGCACCACACTCAACCGGAGATTTAATATAAGTGAAATGAAAATGAAAAGGAAACCAAGCAAGTTAACGGTACCAGCGACAGCTGGGGACACAATTACGAATACTATTAAGGGGCATACAGCGAGTGGGGAGTTCGCTATTATTATGTTATTTTCACACACACACACATGGAATGGAAAATAACACCAAAAAAAAGAAAACAACTTAAATGTTGCCTTGGGGCAAGCCCAAAATGTAGAGCAACAGCAACGCACATACAAGTTACAAAAACATTTAACTATGTATAAAAAAATACATTTTTGAAATTTATCCGACTAATTTAGATGACTAACAAAAATTTCACAGATATTTTAGATAGTTTGTTTATATTATATGTATAAGCAAGCCATACTTAAGTAATTACATTTTTACTATTTATACTTTTTATTATTGTATTTTATTTGATTGTTATTTATATTTAAAAAAAAAATTTTTTTTGTTATATTATATTGTATTTTGATTGAAATTTAGATTTTATATATGCTTTAATTTATTAGTAATATATATGCTATTAAGTTGCTTTATTCAAGTTATACTCTCACCCATTTTCCGCTACGTTAAGTGAATTGTTGATTCAATCGTCAATCAAATCTGATTAAATGAAATTATGAATCATTGTGCATTCATTTTACATGAATAATCATTGCTTGATTCAAGCAATTTTAGATTAAATGGAGTATACTAAGTTCTCAAGAGTTGTTCGATGCCTTTGCATAGAGTTCAAGTACTTGCCACCTTGATAGTCATTCTCATTTTAACGCTCGCCTGACTATATAGAGCTATATGCTGACTAATCTGACTGTCTATCTGTCTAGTTTGCTGACTGACTGTCGTTCTGTCTGTCTATCTGCCTGTCTGCCTGCCTGGTTGGTTGGTTGCCCTGCCCATTGGATGAGAACGCGGTCAACAATATGTCGTCTAATTCGTGCATGTTGTACAGTTGCTTTTATTGTTGTTGTTGTTGTTTTTTGTTACTCTCTGAGCGTCTGACCTTATGACTTTATTAGGCGCACACACAAAAAATATATACAGGGCATAGAAGAAGTAGAAGGAAAACCAAAATAATGAGACAGCTTTGCTAATGTTGTTGTTGTTGTTTGTTTGGGTGTGTGTGTTTGTGTCATAGCATTTTTCAAGATTTTCTTTTAGCCGTCATCGTTGGCGTCGCTAATGACTAAGCCAAGCAAACCCGCCCAACCAACCAACCGATGATGGCCTATCTCTACCTCCCCCTACCTCTCTCTCTCTATTGAAACCTCCCTCTCTCTCTCTCTCTCTGTCTCGTTGCCTCTGTGTCCGTTTGCTTGGCGCGTGTCTATTGATTTTCCATGCATAATCGATATATAAATATTGCAACTGCCTACAATTTTGCCAACTGTCAACTTTAGCTATCATCAATATGCAAAAGACCTCAGCTATCCTGTTCTACCATTGCCACCTACTGTTCCACCTTCTGTCCACACCTATTTCCAAGTGTCTGCTTTGTTATATGGACCCTTCATCAGTTTCGCTTTTCTAACTTATTATTATTTTCACGCACACACACACACACGCACACAGCGCAAATATTTAATGAATATTTATTTTTCATTGCTTAATTTTGATTTGATTGCGTTTTCTGTTGCGCATTCGTTCTTATTTTCATTTCTGTTTAGCGTTGTTATTGTTGCTATTTTTGCTATTTCATTTGTTGGTGTTCGAGTTGTTGCCGTTGACACTGAAAACGTCAATGGAAATCAACGAGTTTTGTGTTTTTATTATTTTTCAATTGCTTTTGAAATGTTCGTTTGATTCGCTTTTTTGCGTTTTTTTTTTTTTCAAAACCCTTTAGTATATATACTACACATATATATGAATGTGTTTTACATAGGAATTACATTTTTGATAACAACAAAATATGTGATAATTAATATTCGGAATTCTAAAAGAAAGTTTGACTATTCTCTAAACAATTACGAAGTCTGACTTATGACATGTTTTCTTATATATTATTTCAGCTTAAATGCGATTTATATCAAAATATCTTGCAAGCAACGTTACTCTAGTCGAGAGTGCTCGACTTGGAGATACCTTGATTCCTGCGCAGAGCTGCTTTCTAACCATTCTACGCTTAAAATAAGCTCTCTGCATTCTGCGCAGTTTCATGAGCAAGGGAAGCGACGTATCCAAACTCTGTGTATTAACTTCTACTCTTTTGTGGTACTTAAGCCACGCTTAATAATTAATACAAAACAATATGGTTTGTGCTATATAGCCATTATTATTATTATCATTAAAGATTTTAATATTATTTCCATTATTATTTATTATTGTTATTTATCAAATTTAGTTTTTATATATTTTGCATCGAAGGGAAAAACTTTCTTACAGGGAAACACGTGTATTATACTCTTTAATTATGCTTAATTCAAGTGGGGTTTTATCTCTTCTGTTTTGTTTTTGTTTTTTTTGTTTGTGCGCCACACTCGCGACAAATTGCGCACTGTTTATTTGCTTGGCTAGCTGCGTACTTGGAAATCATGTCTCAAGAAATTGGCTCTTGGCTGCTGGAAGGGGTAGGAGCTGGGTGAGGGGTCTCAGTGTGGGGTTGGTTTGTAAAAGCAGCTATAAACTACGCAGTAATATTTTGTGCACGTTTCCTTAGCGCATGTGGCACACATACAAATACACACACATATGGCACACAAACACACACACACATGTATGGTACACACGCTTGCACTTGGCACATGGCAAATCCTGACAAGAGTTCAGGGGCGTTTCACAAGTAACTTGGCAACGAGGCGTGGCAAACGCCTTGCGTGTTGCATCCGTCCACCAGCAAGTAAATTGCACAAAGGAAAATGCGCGTGTAAAATGTGAAAATGCGTCAAGAGCTGCAATTCCATTGAAATTGACAGCAGGAAGAGACAGACGAGGGGGATGGGGCG